TCACTTTATTGATAATGAGAAGAGTCGTAATATCTGATATTCGACACGATATACACCGGTAGATGCAGACAACAATCGTCTAATATGAAAGGTCTACGAGGGCGTGTCTTTGATAATTGCCAGATCCATACACAAATACTTTTTTATACCAAAATTTACCCAAACTCACCCATTTTAAAATTCAATATTAAATCAATTAATATTATTATATATTTGAAATTTTATAAAAGTAATAAATTTTTATTAAAAATTTAATAATATAATTTTAATTTTCTTATTAAAGTTTTCAATTAAATCAAAATTTATATTGAATTTTTATATTTAAAATTTTTATAAGAAATAATATTTATTTTAAGAATCAAATTTCTATATAAAATTTTATCATCAATTCAAATCTAAAATTGATAATTTTAATATGAAATTACTTATTAATTAAATCTCTTTATACTTTTCAAATTTTGAAATATTATAATGAATATTTAAATTATTATATATTTATAAATATATAGAATAAAGTATAGTTTTGATAAGGAAATTCGTTTAAATTTTAATCCGGCAATCATCAAAGATACGCCCTCGTAGGTCCAGTCTAAAAGATTCTAGTATTCTAGCATTCCACATTCCGCATTCCGCATTCGAGCATTTTGAAATTCTGGAATCATACCTTGAGTAACATGATGTATCATGAAATGAAATACATACTTCATACTGTCCTGTATCTACCAACCAGTAGAAGTTGGTGAGTACAAGCTATAATCACATCGCCGACGTGTATTAGAGAGGACGCCAGCCATTGCATCATTTGGCTGGTTACATTCAAACATACTGGCGTTGAGCACAAAATATGTCGTAATATGCAAAGGTATTCAATAGGTATCCATTCTAACTTCTCTTAACTCTATCGGTCAGATATTCAGCCACTACCTAGGATTTACAACAGAATGTGATGGAAACGTATCACTGCAATGGAACGGAATCATTTACATCCCTTCAAACTTACATCAAGACTTGCAGATCAACCAGCCTTAATGCGAGCTCTCCCGCCGTCCTGTACTACTGTCTGAGGTGAGTTGTCAATAAATTGAAGAATGACAAGGCTCACGTTTACGAACACAAACCATAACGCTGGGTTTGAGGTAACATCTCTAACGAGTGATATATCTATCTGCACGCTATCCAGTTCGTGTAAGCTAGGTCGACCGGATCAATCTATGATCTGGGGCGGTACAAGCCAGAAAGCCAACAAGCCATTGACATATATTACACCACCTTCGCTACTCGTGCTGCCAGAAAGTATGCAACGCCGGCGCTATGAAAACCAGGTTAGTCCTCTTGTAGTTTACTTTACCATCTTGTGGTATGTGCATCTAGCGTCGGAGTTGCATACTTTCTGACAGCACGAGTAGATGCAGGGGTATAATGATTACGTGATCAACGACAGATTGATAACGATGTATTATTGTAACCGACCTCGGATTTGGAGACCTCCTAACTCTATCGTCTGTGAAGGGGACATGATATTGTACTAGGTATCCCCAATATTCTGTAGGACGATTCTACTGACAGAGTAGCTATCTTTCATTCTTATGGGATCAGAACAATCCAGAATCTTTTTTCTTTTACTCGAGATATCACTAAAGGGAGTTCTCCCGACTCTTTTGTTGACTAATCAGGTATGAGGTTATCTCGTACATTTCGAATTGCTACAAATCGGATGATGTGACCCCCTGAACCAAGGTAATCTATTCAGGATATCAGATCCGCCAATTGAGAGCAGATGCACCTTGAACGATTGGACAGGGTGAGATATGAGACCCAGTATATCTAGGATGGTGAGTGCAAACTTCTCAATCACAGTCAATAGCACAATCTGTTTGGTGTATGGGTATTTACACGAGTCCAGTATTAAGACCTGCTCATTACTTCATAGGGAGCATGAGACTCGGAGCAGTACCGGCATAGACTTCTTGCCGTCAACTTTCTATCAGAACCAGATCCTTATCTCAGGCCAAGCATGGCTGATTCCACTGATCTTCTTACAAAGCATTGCCCAAAATGGTAACACCTGCCGTTAGACATCAAGACAGTTATTGCAGCAGGGATCAAATGCGGAAAATTCGACATTTGTAAGATTTTCCTTTCATGGGGGTCTGTATCTTAGTTTTCGCCGTGAATGAATATATATTTTGAGGTGGTGCAGATATAGACATGCAGAATCTCTGCGTCACCCTTCGATTCATGAATGTGCCGCCCGTAGCGACATTTAAGCTGTTTTTTTGCAGAGCTATCAACACGGCTCCGCAGGGTCTTCTGTGCAACTGAGCATTCCTTGGGGTAATCCGAGTTAAGCGGGCGGTTGCGGCGTCGGGAGTCTCTCCGACATCAGTTGCCCCGATCTTGCAGATGGCCGGCACACACTTCCGGTCAACCCCCGTATAGAGGTTGACAGCGTAAGTCGTATAAGACATTAATTTGCTCCATATACTTCTATAAAAGGGAATTTAGGGGGGTTAATAGAGAAAAGCTTGGCCACTTTTTGGTGTGTTTTATAATCCTTATGCCGTCAACCTCTGTATATTACTTGACTAGGATTCAGTCCTTCTTACCATAGAATCATTGGTGAAGAAAACACTGCTGCCATCACTTGCTCCCAACCAAATTGAACCAATCTTTGTCACCCCTGCCATATGCAATACTTTCTACTTGCGCCAAATGTTACTGCAACTAGACGCCGATGAGATGCATTGAGAGATGCGGGCTTCACAACCCCGAAGTTGGCACTGGCCAATCTTTCGAATCTTGTAAACCCATAACTTGCCACCCTTTTATACGTAAAGCCCTGCAGGCAACGCGGCTACCTGATAATACCGTAAGTTCGCTATGAGCATCGCAATTCTCTCCATCCATACTGCACGTCCAGTCTTCAAAAAGCGGAAACTCGACAAGCCCCATCATGTCTTCACCTGATCTAGGCCCTTTGGCAATGAGTCAAACAAAAGATGACCTCGTCAAGCATCTGAACATTAGTGCCGAGACGTATACCCTGATGGCGGTAAGCATTCATTTCAACCAAACTACCCTCGTTGACTCAACCTTACCATTGCCAAATTGAGAAAGTTTAATCAATAGAGTGCTTACTTATCTTGGCCACCATTTCAGAAAGAGACCGATGTGGTCTATAGGTGGCTTATTTCTGAGAAATGCCACCTCAAGGGGAATTGCAAAGGGAAACCTCCGTACGATTGGAGCGATATTGTCGAGAGATCGAAAGATGAAGCAATGAAACTGATAGTCCAAAATGGTACTGATCAGACGGCATACTACTGGAACTTAGCCAAGCCGACTCCCGACTGCCCAAACTGGATCGCAAGATGGTTCTTATATCATAAATTTCGCTATCGAGATGGTAGGAACAGAAATATCAGGGCCGATAGTAGGGATACTGCGCCATACAATCCGAAACCCCCTTCGCACCACCACCACAACGGTTACCGCCATTCGCACCATTCATACCCTTCACACCATAGATATGTACAGGTAGATGAGCAATACAGCCACTCTTCGTACTTTTCAAGTGCGTCCATGAATACAGGTATGTGTAATGGCTTCTATCCACCAAAGTTATCCACACAAGCTGGAAGCAAAGAAATGATGTCTGTGTGGAACGTATGCGCGCCATATATCTCGCATAAAAGACCCTTTGTGCAGCAGTTTGCCACTAGTCGATGAGCTAAACCATGTTTTTGGCGCTCTATTCTAACTACCGACAGGAGACAGTCAGGGATACAACTATTCTTCCACTGGTGTGTACCCTCTCCGCTTCCCCACTACCTAGAGTACTAACGTATCTTTTCAGAGCCTAGCTCATCTACTAGTGGCTACGCCACCTACTCATCTAGTCAAGCCTATGCACCATCGTCGACGTACGTATCGTATGCGTCATCGCCGATCACCCGAGAGAGTGGACAGACTAAGCCATACGATCCAGTTAGAGATCTTTAGTCGCCCGTAGTACGACTGTACGAGACGCGGCTATGTTGGCATACCGCACATGAAGCCATGATGTTATGAGTTCTTGTTACGATAGGATGGAGTTCATGGCAGGCATCAATGCGAGGGGCGCCGGGATGAATTGTTACGATAATCATGGCAATATAGCTACTTGTTCGGTTATTGAGGAATCATTGGTCGACGTCTTACAACTTGGGAGTTTCATCTATTTTGCTGCTGGGGAGGCATGTATACGAATGTTCTTTGGATCGGGAATTGACTTCAAAAGTGCTTTAATATCATAATATCAAGACCATCTTCAACCACATCCTCTTTTGCAACCTGCTGATGTTGTCTCAAGCATACCTTCCTTGATTAAGTGGCCATACCACTGCTTGATTCTCTATCTTACAAGTTTTCTTTGTGATGATTAGCTGTCAGGCATATAGCCATAATGATTATTCATACCAGTGGTGGAATGGAATCAGGTATTTCTAACTTCGGAGCACTCATACGAGCTTTGTGCACTAGAGACATTCGTATTCCTACGGTAGACCATCTTGACGAATAGTATTGCATGGTTTGCGAGTAAAAGTGTGGAAGCCCGTGTTTCTGAACAACAAAACTGGGAAACTTGGATGACGGTACCGTATAGAGGGTCCAAAACTTCCTGTCTCGTGTGGTTAGCCATGTTAAAGCCTCATATCTTCTCCACAGCCTGAATATTCAGACTCAAAGATCTAACACCGTGCAGCTACCATTATGAGGTATCAACCAATTAGACGTTCGATCTTAAGTGTAGCGGCTACTCATAATAACTTAAACCTCTATTCAATTCGAATAGAATAGAATCCGCCGCAACAAGAAAGCGAAACGAACACAAAATACTGCCTATACTTCTAGGTTCCTTACTGGTTTGTGATATATACGATCCAGTTGAACACTAATCGAAAGCTAAGCCCCCCTTTAATTTCCTCCCACGCGATCAAAGTTACACATGCACGGCGCGATTATCCGAGCCACCAGTCCGTTCTGGGATAGTTCTCCAGCGATCCGGTAATTTCCGTGCGTCGAGTAGTAGTACTGTGTTGTGTGGCGAGTGGTGAGTCGGCGAGCCCCACGTCTCGTGGAATTATGTCGAGTAATGTTGGGTTCTTTGGGAGTAGTGTGACTGATCCTTTGCTACTATTGGGGTAGCTAACGTTTTGTTCAGGGTCTTTTGCTGTGGAAAGGTTTCCTACATAGTAGGTTCTGTGTCTTCTCATCTAGTTAGCATTACTTGGGTAAATCTTGTATGATTTGAAAATAGAAGCTAGTGGACGTCTAAAGAGAGTTCTAGATTATATTTGCTTACCTGGGTAGCTAGATATATGGCTCATCATGGCGTACAATTTTTCAGAGACACCTATGGTTTCAAAGAGCTCCTAAAGTAAGGTCTGTCGGCGGAACAGTGGCCATATGCAGTTTCTTCTGCCCCCGTAGTCCCAAGATACAGCGTAAACCGAACCCAACGATACACAAGTTATGATTCGTATGAGGTCGATCAAAAGTTTCTATAGGCTGAACAGTTACCCGATCCTCGCTCTCGGAATTAGATATGCAGTTAAGCGTGGCTTGGAAGCATAGCTCCAGATTCACAAGATCATTGGAGATGCTCAGATCCGATCAACCGGCGATTTGGAGTCTAGGCAGTGCAGTTCGGGCTATTGAAGAGCTTGTTTTGTCCCTGCATGCATACGATATATTTCCCCGCTTTGTTCCACTAGCATGTCATGGAAACTTGAAGATTCGAACCCTTTTGCGGGAATCCCGACCATTCTGGCATTTTTCCACTGAACGGCTCCCAACAGTTGTTCTGAAACTTATTGCTAATTACTTTGGGCTTAATTTCATGAAGACAAATACTTATATCACCATATATATTATTATACAAAGAATTTGGATTGTGGAGTTGCATGAATTGTGAGACAAGCACCTAGATAATCTTTCAAATTGATTTTCAGGTGCCGTCTTGGAAGTATCTACCAATACATGTTGACTCGCGTAGAGCTTCCCGAATAAATAGATGCGCATTCATTCTCATTTTGATCACATTCGTTCTCCACGTGGCTTGCTTAAAAGCCCAGGGCCAGGTCCATCCAATTCCTACAACGGTCGATCACAAAAATTGAGATCTAGAGGATTACACATGCAATAATTTTACTAGTGGTATGTTGCATGATACATGGTGTCAACTTGCTCAATGTACATTATTATCCCATCTGCTTGTAGATAAGAGCCAATCCAACGTTTTCTCAGTAGCTTAATGAGAACTGAAATGTCATTCCCATGTTCGTTTCTAATATACGGAGTATCTAGGTGTTGAGTTTGACGACATACTCGTGGTAATTTTACCGGTAAAGTTATAACGGGTGATTGTCCGACTGAATGGCATTGGTAGTATTCAATAGCAATTAAAAATTTAGTTGTAAACAGTGATAGACCAATATGAGGGTTCAAGTATGAAATGTGTATCGTACGTGGAGCGCAGTATCTTCAAGGAAGGAGAACCTGGTAACTTTGCTTGATGTCCTATATTCTGGGAATGAATCAGTAGATTTATCAAACTGTAAAAGAACCCATTTTTGTCTCTAGATATTCTCCTTCAGCTGTCAAGTCATAGGAGACGACAAGCGAGGACGTGCTTTATTAAAAAGACATACTTGCCATCAAAACTCAGGTAGAGTCTATGACCGTGAGGCATCGTATACTCAAAGTAAAGATCGCATAGATGGACAGATGGTGCAGCCTTAGTGCTCGATATGTATTTCTTTTCTATAAGCTTAATTAGATATGCTCCCGGGACCAGTAATCTTGTTCGTTTGAAATGAATAATGAATCCATGAATCATTTTCCTGTGAGAATATCATTTGTGGATTCTTACTCTCATCGAATGACTTTATTTAAAACATCCAATCTTGATCGAAAATAGTGGTGATGTGGAACATGTATGGGTGAGTGCAGCATCTGCTGCTGAATACTATGTCACTGGCGCGTTTCGGTGTAGCGAAGGCAGCGCGAGTGATGTTTCTCCGGGGAAATAGCTCAAGATGATGACTATAATGGATGCGATTCCGGATTGCAATGAAACTTCTATCCCCTGGATGGCTGGATCCAATTCAATCCATGTGTCATTCATCCAGGATAGAAGAAAATTTAATGCTGTTATCTGTACGAGGATCAGATTATACGAACTCTCAAACCCTGGCAGAATACAGTGACATGCGGGTGACACTATCTTTGCAGTTTGTTTACAGCTGTGGAATTCCTGCATTATTACACGAGAAAAGTACCAAAGGTATTACAACTCCCATAGCATATATGGCCCAAGTATGTGGTTCAGCTGTCGCCAAGTTTGAAGGGCCCGCCAAGTAAATCAATTCCTGGGACAGGATGGATAATAGAGAGATGGATAACGAGCGAATCTTAAATCGAAATGGAAGACGAGTTCCTACGAGCATTGCAGTCAATCATCAACAAATATCATCAGAAAGTAATGTTGACTTTAATGATTCTATTGAACGAGATTATGTATGTGCTAATCCAGAATCTATGGAATCTAGGTCGAGTGGAAGGTTACAGTCAGAAGCGGAATGACTCAGCATTTAACTTGCGTATTCATCTATTAGGTACTTCTAGATGAGGAGTAGATTGTAACTTTTGGTTGTATCGTGACAGTCAGAAAAAGCCGAGAAGGATGAAACATCAATAGTTTATATCAATTAGTCGTTTCATTCTCGCCACTTTCGTCCTGAGATTTATTCGCCACGAGAATTGGCACGACGAGATCTTCACATTTGTTACTCTACTCTAGGGTGGTAATTTGGTCGGCCATCACGAATTCTTATTTGCAGATACCTACATCACCTGTCAAAATGCTTGAATTCGAAAGTGCTAATTTATAAAGCTAAGATTCCCCAGATGCTCTAATTAAAAGCAGCCATACTCATCATTTATTTGGTTTATGAGCGTCAAATATGGAGTGAGCGGAAGTTTCCAACACCTACTTTACATTCAGCAGACACGAACACTGCAAACATGAGCTAAATCGGCTTTCTCAATGCTGTAGGAATGCAAGAATATCACCATAACACCATCTACTTTACGTTGGGAAGAAGGCGTAGCTGCCAACATGATCAACAACTTTGCGTGGAGGATCTAAAATCAGATGTTGCCAGTTATGATAGCTCAATGTCGCACAAGTCTTGGCGGTTTAGTAACAGGCTAATTCAAATTGAACCACACCAAAATCTTCGTGCCGATGCGATGGCCAAATGCCAGAATTTATGTGCCGATTCGGCGTCTAAATGATGGAAAACTTGTGGCGCCGATACCGATGCCGATACGGGGTTCGGGCCGGGCCGAGCTCACATAACTTGAAATGCTCATATGTTTTCCTGCTTATCGTAAGACGACGACGAGTTTGATCGATTTGACTATCATATCATGAGTGAGTTTCAATATCGGTAGTCTCGCTACTGACATAATTACACGATGTACAGCTGGCTGCTTTGAATCCCAAGCATACCTAGGTAGCTCAATCGCAATGATAACCTTCGGCCGATATTTGACGGTCAAGGCTTATCCGAAAGCCAAAGAATTTCCGTATTTCCGTTTGATATCTGAAGATGGATAGATGCATCCGAATGAAACCGGAGTGTTCGAATGGAAAGATATAATACAGTATCACATCTGTCGTTACTTCTTCGCCTTGTACAACTCTCTCATCATCAAGCGATAGAGTCCACAGCATGCAAAGTTGTGATTGAAACATTCCTTATGCCTTAGATCTTCTCTGGAAAGAAACATAGATAGCTTTCGATGCTTCGGCTCGAGAATATGACAGAATCTTCAAAGGCTGTCATTTACTACGAATGTTTGGTTCGAGACTGCTAATTATGCATGTTGGATGACTCTTTCCAACTGATACTACATAAGAGCAGCAGGGGAGTGTTGTGAAACGGTGCCAAAATCATTTGTTCTAACACAATAGAGTTATTATTAGCATTCGGCTCTGAGGCGGGTGGTTTGCCGCTCCGATACACACCGACATGGGACACATATTGAATCTATTTTTGAAGCATCGGTGACTTGCCAGCGACTAACGGGCGGGGGCTCATGCGCCCGAACATTGATCAACCAAGCTTAGACGGGTATGATAGGGCTACGAGGAGGTTTCTAATAGCCACACGAATACAGTCGTTTGAGACTAGTTTGAGACTAGTCCAGGGCCGCAGTTCTCTCGGGTTGTTGGGAATCGTCACTGGGAATCACTGCAAGTGTACCAGTCAGATTGTCAATTAACTTTAACTACCTACCTAGCTAGAACTTCCATCTACTCACAAAAGACCTCCATATCCATTCAAAATATACAGCACTACTTCTTTCCAAACAAAACCTAACCGTCTGCTTAGACTACTTCCAACGTGGTGTTCCCTTGTCAGGAATACTTTTGAACTTTTATCTAAATCTTTTTCCCACCTTTATATGGAAGTAAAAAGGTCAGATGGTATATACCTACATATACATGTTGTTGAATTTCTAAGAAGCTTGCATGGTGATTAGCTGATAGAAGATACCAGAAGAACAGAGGAACAGCACAGTACAGAATTGGACTCGAAGTAGTGCTGTGATACTTCTGAACTAGTATTGAAGCTTTTCTAGAAGTTCATTGGCTCTTAAGTTTATCAGAGTTCTTCCTTCTACACTTCTATAACATATAGCAAGTGTAATAGACATTCTAGTGTTTCAATGTTCTGGCGGATGTAGAGGCGGGAACCAAAGACCTTGTGTCTGCAAGTCTTTAAGGATCACATGAAAAATTGTAGTTACAAGCTCCAAGGTTCAACAGATGCCCTCCCAAAGAGGGCCTCAACACAAGCAAGAGATTCACTGTTTTCATTTGAATCGAACCAAGTCTTGGAAGAATTTTCTTCAATAGTTCTTGTGACAATCCCCGGGGCCTTATAGAAGTAATACAACAAGAGAATTTTGATTTGCTTTGCCTTGATTTTAATTTTATTATGATGCTGTTGCCATGCAAACCTTTGGGCATTATTCACTTTGAGTTGAACCAAGGCTTTTGATTAGTTATATTCTGCATCCATCCTTTTCTTTCCAAGAGTTTCTAGAAATCTCTTGGTAGTAAGGGCATGGATAGATTTATGTTGATAATAGTATGAAATTCAAAAACACTCAATGTTGTCTTAGCAATACACAACGCTTTACTTGACTTGAATAAATCCACAAACATGAAGTGCATACCTATATATCTAAATATCTAATGAGATATTAGCTGTAAAGAAATATCTGCATGCTTGATAAATACCTAGCAGAAAGTCACCTTAGAAAAGCCACAAAAGATGGCAGGAAAATGTTTTCATATTCACTCATCTTCATCCTCGGAGATGACTTCAACATTCCAGAGTAGTGAGGGGGTAATGTTCTTGGTCAAACCTGTTTATTAATCTATCAAGAGAAAGAAGCTATCTGGTAGTTATTGAATGACCTGTATCTGTTTGATATAGATATCCAGAAGTTCCCTTTTCTGGACAAGAAAATAGCTTTTGTGAAAAATGATTCTAATTCCGATTCTTCTACCAAACAGCAAGTTCAACCCAGATCATGTTTACTATTGCAGATATTCACGCGTCCAAAGTGATGACAAAGAAACACACAGCCTTTCTAAAATGACTCAAAGCCTCAGAACCTTGTTGTCCTCAAATTAAACTCATGTGGACACCGGCTCGGAATGATCCGAGGAGCTTCAACTGTCAAGTCTCCTCTGGAAAGCCAATAAAAATAATCAATTAGCCGAGGAAAAACTTGCTCAACGCACTTTCTTATATTTACCTCCCGACCTTTCGAGTTTTCCTTTTTCTTCTTCCTTTTTCTTTCCAACGAACCGCGCAACCACGAATGTAAGTAAAATTACTGGGCGCTCCTTTCTTGATGGGGTTTTGACTAACTGCAATATAGCGACGATACAGAACAACTTTGCACTACAAGATCTTTGCTATCTTCTCACTGCCGTCTTCTCACATTCGTATTCTCGCTGCCGTTTTCTCACAATAGTCTTTTCGCAGTCTTTCTATCACCGTCGTATTCTCATAATCTGTAAGTCTTCAAACTCTCCTTCTTATGTCTTCTATCAAAACACACCACATTGTATTGGCATAGCTTGGAAATTGCGCACTTTCAACCAATTCTGTGCAACTCAATATCCATGTTGCACCAGAGTAGCAAGAAAGTTGAAGGTGCGCTATCTACTTTGCTTGTTGCACTGTCTTTCGTTGCGCCAGTTCAAATTGCACATCGCAGAGCACCAAAAGTACTATCTTCCTTGAATTTCCATCCTATCTTCTGTGTTTTGAGAGAGGATTGACAACTGGCCCACTTTGATCTGTTCTGCCTATGGCAGTATCAGTCATCTTGCCAATGGAAACCTTGCTGCAAACAGCTCTCAAGACTTCCCTTTTTCTTCACTTTACATCCGATCGCTCTTGTCTTGAGAAGAGGACAGCAGCTGGCTAGCTTTGATTTCATCTGCATAAAGCAGTGTATGTCAATGTGCCGATGTTGAGACTGTACTTCAAGCTATAGCGGAAAAACTCTCCTCCACCACTTCCCACCCTGTTTCCTGCATTTCAAAAGAAAGATCGATCATTGGTTTATTTTGATCTGTTCTGCATATAGCAGTATTGGTCAAACTTCTGGTTGAAACCTGGCTTTAAATAGGTATCACCAGATAAACTCTTTCTTCTCTACTCCTCTTTGCACCGCTGGTTCTTCAAGAGAAATTTGAAACCTGGAACTTGTCAGTCAGTCTTGCTGAGTCAGTTTTGCTCAATATGTGAGTTCACGCTACGCATCGAGAAGCTCCAAAAGACCATATTTCTCCACTTTCAAGCTCAAATCTACCTCTTTCAAGTGAAATCCAACAACTTCAAGTTTTGGTGCCATCTAACCTAATCAACACATCTTGAACCACGAGCTTCACTTGACCTCTCTGGTTTCATGTATTGTTTTCATCTTCCAATATTCTTCTTAACTTTCATTTGTCTACCAATAGACCTGGGCCTCGCTAATGCAAGTCATTTTATAGTCATCATTCACAATGGCACCCGTTCGTCGCCGCGCTGCTGCCAAGGAGCCTGCTGATAATAAGCCTGTTGTCAAGAAGCTTGCTGACAAGAAGCCTGTTGTCAAGAAGCTTGCTGACAAGAAGCCTGTTGTCAAGAAGCCTGCTGAAAAGAAGCCTCGCCCCCGCAATGTGGCCAAGATTAGAATCGACGACACAATTGCGCGCTGTCCCGGAGGTACCCCAGCTTACCAACACCGGAAGGAGTTCCTTCTCATTCGTCCCTCTTGCACCGAGGCCGAAGTGAAGATGGCACGCGGGGCCGACTACAAGCCGCTGCGTACCTATAAAAACCTCCCGGCTGGAAAAAAGAAGGCGGTTCGCCTTACTCGGGAAGAGTACTGCGTGATTCGGGATTGGCGAATTCAGAACGGGGTGGCTCCCTTCAGAAAGCCAAAGTTTGACACCAAGTGGGGTTGGAACCATGAAGACGCGTGGGACGTCTACTACATGACCCACACCCATGAAGATCCATCCTACCGTTAGACTTTGGTGGCCTTACGGGCACTGGTGAGGAGAATCGTGGCTTGTCCCTCGCCTTAGTATGCCATCAGGATGTATATACGTGTACCTAGTAGGACTGTACGAACGGTACGTATCACTCGCTTGGTGGAGGAACGGGCAGGGTCCGGCGCGGTTCTCTGGGGATTCTCGTAATGCGAAGCAGGATTCTATTGTATTTAATTTCTTTGGTAGATAGCGGGGGAAATGGTGTTATGCATGGCAGGGTTTTTGTAACAATGGTATATGTGGAGGATATTGGTTGGGGGACCCTGGGACTGGGCTGGCGTTGTGTTATGGTATATTTGGAGGATTTGGCTGGAGACCCTGGGAGCGGGCTGTTTTTTTAAGGTATATGAGGGAGATTGGGAGTAATGTCCCAGTTCTCCAGGAATTTGAAATTTGGTGGTGGTGGAGTCTTCTTTTTCGTAGTGTTCGATTAGTTGCCTTTGGATTGGTCTCGCCAACCATCCAGGAAGTACGACACACCCTACTGCACCAGAAAGCATTGTCATCGCTCGAGCCTGGACCTCCTCCGCAATCCAAGAGTCACCATCGATCTCATTGCACCACACCAGTTGGAGAGGTCGGACAAGGTGTCCTGCGGCCGAAACTCGAACCATGACAAAGGCATGGTATCTTCCTCCCATTTCCGACTGTGCAGCTTTACACCTGCCGACAAACCTCGAACCATGACAAAGACATGGTGTCTTCCTCTCCTCTTCTATCCGATCGTGTAGCCTCACACCAAGCTGATGAAACTCGAACAACGGTTGTTCCCTCCGCGTCCTCCTCAAACTCACTGCTGCAATCAATCCACCAACAAAACAAGCAGAAGATTCGATGTTCAACGCAAAAGACACCTCGACTCACACAAACTCGCGAAACAACACACACACACACACACACCACATCGTCCATCACCTCCATCTTCGATTCGCTTTTCCACACAATCTCTTCATCGTCTGTATGCATATAAGTCTGTACGCGCACCTCCAGGTCTTACCTCTTCTCATCTGCAGCTCTCCACTCTCCACTCTCCACCTCCACACCACTTCTCGAGCTTCGCAATGTCTCATTCTAATCGCAACAATCCAATCTCGCATCAAGACTCAATCAATGCAGCCGTGATTCCGACACGCGATGACATGACAGACACACCTTCACACACTTTCAAACAATGTGTTTTCTATTTCCTATTGCTTAGTACACGATGAAAGGATTGACGGGTTGATTGACAGAAGGAACGAAAGATAAAAAATCAAAACCCCATTTTTCTCTTCAGATTCTTCCCCAGAGGCCGATACTGTAGCTCAATCAATGATCAACGATCAATGATCAATAACTAGAATAGCCAACGCGATTCATATTTCTTTTCTGTTCTTTTCTTTTCCTTTCCTTTGCTTTACTTGTCTTCCCCTTTGCTTCCAAATCTGAAGCGAGGATTCGTTGAATTTACAGAAATACAAAAAACAAAAAAAAAAACAGAAACACACTCATTCATTCATTCATTCATTCATTCATCATCGTGCAAATGAAATCTTCATCTCAACCTCATACCTGTGCTTTCATAATGGTGTGTATGAATCCTGTAACTATATATATATATATAGTATTGCAACTCGACAAGATGCCTAGATAACTAACTTATCATTTCCTTCTCCTCCTCCTTCTCCTCTTCCTCCTTCTCTCCCCAACCCTTCCCCCCAAAACACTCACACCTAACACCACCAAAAATTACCAAATTTTACACACACCAAGAACAATCAAACAACCCCATAAATTCCCGGTATGAAAGAATCACAATCTGTATTATCATTAAGTATTTACAAATTTGTCGTTTATCTTATTCTTCACATCTCTATCTTCATCTTTCATCTTTCATCTTCATCTTCATCATCTCCACATCCACATCACCATGACAGATACTCTCCAACCCTGACTCCAACCACCACTTCACCACTCAACTCTCTTCATCTCCTCATCTCTCTACCCCCATCGTCAGAAATCCAAAGTCTACTCATACCATAGAAAACAAGCAATCAAAAAAACAGATAAAATAAACTTGTATATAATCAAGATTATTACTGTAGGTATAATCCAATCAATCAATCAGTCAATCATCCATCCATCCTGTTCTGTCCCATCCCATCCAATCCTAACCACGACAACTCTCGTTATCGATTTCCCAAACACCAGAACCCCTAACAAGTCCAAAACCAATCCAAAAACCTGAGCCCAGGCAAGGAAATGAAAAAGAAATGAAAAAGAAATGAAAAAGAAATGAAAAGAAAAAGGGAAAAAGAAAGATACCACCACCAGATATATCAAATTCATTACTCATAACAGCCGTAACTTCTCAACGAAGAAAGGGACAAGAGATGGAAAAAAGATACAGAAAGAAGAAAGAAGAAAGAAAATGGAAATAAGCCTGCCTATCTAGAAATCTGACGCCACGCGACAATTCATCAATTCAACTCACCAAATTGATGAATTATCGAAAGTATGACTGATGGCAGATAAGAAGAAGAAGAAAAGGAAAAGTTGTAATCACACTTTACTCGAACCATACCAGTATGAACAGAGTAGGAGTGATACCTAATTGAAAGACAAAGAAGGATCATAAGAAAAATTTACAGTATTGACACCAACAAGTGATTGATCATCAAAAACTTGAGGAAGAGAAGAAACAGGATCAAAGAATGCCACTGATGGGTCATTCATAGGAAAAGAAGAAAAGTCAAAGTTTGTTTGACCTGCAAAGTTCATTGATAAATCAATGTTCTGTTGCATCGAATTGTCGAAGTTGATGTTGCTGGCAAAGTTTTGTGTGTTGATCGAGGGGTATACTGAGTGAATCGGAACTTTGTTGATGGGATTATCGAAATCAGTTGGTGCGTCATGATTTGGCGATAGATCGTTAAGCATACTCTCGTTCATGTCTTCATCATCGTTCTCATCGTCTTGCTGAGTGTAATCTGCTGCTGGCTCTTCCACCTCTTTGAACCAATTTTTCAATTCCGACATTGGAGGCCAATCTCCTCCAGCTTTTCCACCACGCTTTTGAGACTCCTCAACCTTACTGTTCTTGTTTCTACCCTTAGATTTGGGTTTGAAATGCGCTCTTCTAAGGTGTGCAGCTGCATTATAATATGCTCCATACTTCTTTTTCTGTGTCGCGCACGCCTTGCATTTTGAGAGTGGCAACACAGGTTTTTCGCGTCCTTGACTGCTCAGCGGTTCAATGCAAACCCACTTCTTCACCATTCTCTTATGTTGTCGATCGCAATGTCTTCGAAGCTCATGTTCGCCACGAAACCCATCAGGGTGTTCGTCACATAACTTGCAAAATACACGTTCGTGTTTTGGTCGTTGATAAGCACGCTTTTCGATAGCAACCTTATCATTTGTCACATCTTTCGAATCTTGTCGAGTCATTGATTGTGATGAGTTGACTCGTGATATCGAATTCTCTTCACAACCACCCTTAGGCATGAGTGGTCGCGCAGCGGCAATGTTACTAACTTGTAGCCGCTGCTTATTACGAGATGATGATGACATGCTCGATGAAACACTTTCAATCGATTGTGATTTTTCCATCTGTTGAGCAAAAGGTGCAGAAATTTGAGACTGAGCAAAGGCTTCCGTACTAGGAAAAGAAAGAGAAAACTGAGAATCATTGCCAACACCACCAGCCCCAACAAGTAGTTGAGTCTGTTCCTCGTCGGAAGACCGACGACTATGATGAGAAGAACTATACTGAGGAGCAACGGGATAAACAGAATCATCATTGATACCTGTAGAAAAGGAATTGTTCGAATTGAACTTCATCATTTCAATACTTTCCACCAGAGGCTCATTAAAGAGACTATTTTGTCGACTCATGTTACTTGTGTACGTAGTTGCATCAGTAAGAGTCGTAGTTGTAGGCGTGCTAGGAATGTTGAATGACTGTCGCGATTGTTGAAGTTGCATAGGTGTTGAAGAATGCATCGATACCGGAGAAGGCGTGATCGAGAAAACTGGGGTAGGTGAGACACCAGTAAATCCGGTACGGAAGAGGAAGTCGCCGGGGTTTTCAAAACCTTGGGGAACCTCGAGAACTTGTTCTAGTTCCGGTTTCCGTTGAGACATAGAGCGCTGGAGGGGGGAAGCCGAGGTTTGATGCGAGAAAGTGTAAGAGCTGTAGGGCTGATCTTGATTAACCCAAGCTTCGAGGGCGGGATTTCCTCGGCGGAGATCATTATGGAGGGGAGGGGGCATCGCGCCGTTCTGGGTAAATGGTAATCTTCCGGAGCGTGTAGATGCACTATTCATTGAGCTTGCTCGCATCATGACGGGCTCAGATTGTTGGGATATTGTCCGCGATATTCCGGTCGCTTCCATCCGATCCTAAGTTTCGTTAGAGCCAGCTCAGGGAGGAAAACCACGGGGGACTCCTACAGAAGATGAGTGTCGGGCCATGGGAGCTCCACTGCTTGACATACTTCGGGGAACATTGTGTCTTCGTTGTGTTTGCTGTTTGTAAATCGGGGATCTGTGATGGGGAAACGATGATGTCGACGCCGAGCCGGATGTGAGGGATGCGATTTGCGCTTGAATTTGTTCTTGCTGTGCCAGAAGGAATTGAAGTTGATCCTGATCTACCGAAGTATTGAGTCTTAACTGGGACGACATAGCAAGTGTCTATTAGAACTCGTTAGGTATTCTCCAAGGACTTTTCGAATCGCTGGTGTATGATAGTGGAGACTGTGTCGTCGCTTGCAACGTTGTCTGCAGCCTCACGTAGTTAGTAAAGAGTATGATCACCAGCATATTTCGTACAGTAGCGGGTGCAGTGAAGAGGAGTTGAATGATGAACATTAGAACCCATGACATACGTATGGATGAAGGATGCACGTAACGATGTTACGAACGGTGAAGGTAATGATAGTTCGTCGTTTGGGAATATTGATATGACACTATGGTTGCGTGGGAAGATAGGGAGGCATAAAAGTAAGGCGAAAATAATGAAGTTAAGATTGTGGAAATGGGAAAGGCGAACTATGTATTGTATGGACAGCGCGACATGGTAAGATGGGGCTCATATGAAATTGAGTTCGGGATATGGATGACACGGCAGAAGAACGGATGAAGTGTGGGTTGGGATGACTCTGATGACGAGACAAATCAAACAGATTAAACAGATTAGGATGTTTCGAGGTCATACCAAAAAAGATGTGATGGGGACGGGGGGGGGGATATACCGATGTATGAGATGGATTGTATGGGTGAATGTATGGATGTATGGGACCTTTTCTTTATTTATTTTTTGGAAGTATATGAGTGGATGGGTGGATGAGTGGATGGGTGGATGAGTGGATGCATGGGTGGATGTGTGATTTTTCTTGGTATGCCAGGATAAGGTATGGGATAAGGATTAAAATAATGATAACGACTTGATTATCTGACCTGCTTTACCACATTAGGAAAAGATGAAGTTTGTTGTGGATATGTGTGGATGTGTGACATTGGGTGTGGCATTGCGTGTGGTGGTTTCTGATTGTGGTTCAACTGTAGTGGGATGAAGATTGAAGGTCGTGAGGGAGGATGAGGGGATGAGCGGATGAGCGTATGGATGGTATGAGGGCGAGTGAGGGGCGTGTTCAAGATTGTATGGTGGATCGATTTCTTGTTGTTGTTGTTGTTGTTGTTGTTATTGTTATTGTTATTATTATGCTTATTATGATCATCATCATCATATCATGGCTATGATCACGATGTGGAGGGATGGGAGGGATGGGAGGGATGGGAGGCTTGCTGCGGTAGATTCCAAATGGTTCTAACGCTGCATAGTCAATAGGTACCTTGCTCCAGAACGTCTCTCCTTCTCTCTCTCTCTCTCTCTCTCTCTCTCTCTCTCTCTCTCTCTCTCTCTCGGTACATCGTACACTTCGCAGATGGTAATTTGTCCGAAAGAGAGATTGACAACATAGAAAGTCACACCAGGAAGTTACATGAGGATTCAAGCAGTTACACCAAGCAAAAAAGAAAGGTCGTAGGTACTACTAGGTGGTCGGTAGTAGGTAGCTATGTAAACACCAAAACTCTCCTCTGTGCTATTCTGCTCCATCCTGCTCCATCCTGCTCCATCAATCTGCTTGGTACAGAGTATACTCTCAAAGCTCAAAGGCCAAGCAAATAGAAGCAAGACATTCTGCGTTTGATACTCCCCCACGTCCTGATAACTAATCATGCCATCCATCCATCATTCATCAATGATTTTCCCATCAGAAAGGATATTTTGGAGGGCATTCGCGGTATGAAGATTCTGTGAAAAGTCTTTCTTCTGAATCCTTTTCTGTACGTCAGTCGTCATGTACTCAGTCTAGAACTAATGATCGACTTCAATTCTTACCTTGACTTATAGCCACTAGGTACTTACATTGGTCTATTGAAAATGCTTAGGTTTGTCTCATGATCAACCACAATAATAATAATAGTAATAGCAATGAATATTCCTTTCTGCTTCGTATCGAAATTCTTCCGTTTTATTGGTTACGATAGAAGATCGTCAATCATAACATCAATCAAAAATCCAAAGCTTCACCTACGATATGAGGCTATGAATCTATGATATTACCTACCGAGCTACCCTTGAGTCATTACTAATTCCATACTCGTACACCGAAGTCTTTTTATATCGCTCGATGAAGCCGAACTGGTTTCGAAACGTGATATATCCACCAAATAAATCATCTCATTCCTTGTAGACGATAGTATTTATTCATGCTATATAGGTACCTACCTATGCATACTCGTACCTACCTACCGATGTGTACCTATATATAGGTATATACCCATCGACCGAGATTCGAGAAGAAAGATTAATTAGCATTCATCTCCCTCCAAAAGCCAATTAAAATAAGAAGGGTCATCATTCATTTCCAACCATCCAAATCTCCCTTCTAAACTCTTTCTAGAACTAGACGAGAAAGAAGAAAGGAAAGAAAAGTGAAGCAACGAGTAATGATCTTCCTGTCAAACTGCGGCTCATCCCGACTGGCTGACGACCAGTACAAGGTAGGGAGGTATTGAAATTGGAAGAAATACCGAGATACCTACGAAACCGATGTACCTACAAGAAGAAGTATACTTATTACTACTGTACGCGCTCCTACGAGCTCCTCCAATCCAAGCAGTCTGAGTCATGGATTTGAGTTCAAAGCTCAGAACAACCCTGGATGATTAGCTAAGGCATTCATTCTCGCTAGTCCGCCTCATAAATTTTATACCACCATTTATGCCAATCAAAGGTAATTATGATTGGAAAACATTGATCAATTTGAGTTGGAAGCGTGGAATCCTCTCTCCCTATTCGTTCTCGTTGACCTCGTAAACGTGTTCCACCACAGATTCGACACGTACGGTGATTATACGAACCAACGCATCACACTGTCTGAAAATGGTTCGCCCAGGTCATTACAACTTCCAAGGTTGCCTTAATCTTGACCACTTTTACTCAAATAACCTTGATGTCCACCCATCAGCCATCAGCCATCGGCCACAAGCCATCAGCCATCAGCCATCAGCCATCACCCCCATCACCATCACCATCACCATCACCATCACCCATCAACTATCAAATAATCCCGTCCCGAGAATAACCCATCATCACAGCTATCAACATGCTAGGTATCCTTTCGCTTCTTCAGAACCCGACGGGCTCTCGGTTGACTCGGTTCTGCGTTGTAACTTGTAATCAACAACACAAGCTGAGATATATCTTCTCCCAATCAACCCAAGCCTACACTACTACAATTGATGATTGGTAAGATCAGTAATAATTACACAAACATAACAAATTCCTGCTTTCTCGTCGGGCGTAGCCGCTTTATTACCTCTGCATATCGGGCAACTGGTTTTGGCTTGTACGGTATGGCCAGGACGTAGCCATCATTCATAGGTATTGTTTGTGATGGCTGTGTGCAAACCCCACGAATACGCGGCATTCTCCCATCCCCCATGTTGTCAGACCAAGGTACGCTGTATACCGTATACGTAAGGTACGAAAAGGCTTTGGAGGCATTGCGTTACCCGTAGCATAATCATCACACCCTTTTGTAAGCTCTCTCGCGTGGACTGCACGATGTTGTGGTGCCCAACATCTCGCTGGCCTTTTCTGGCCGTGATCTGAGAGTTTGTTGGATCTGCCGGATGTATTTTTGGCTTGGACACTTTGCATGGAGTATTGAGTATATTGTACCTTTGTTCTGGACCCGAGTCGATGGTCGGAATGCAACCTTCCACGGCATGAGAGAAAAGGGAAATGTGATCTTGTCATCTTGAGCAGATATGCCTTGTAAAGAGCCTGATTTATACCCATCGGCGATGCCCGGTAAATGGATTGATGCCCAGACTCTAAATTGACTTCAAATTCAAGACTTCCAACAGCTCTATGGACAATATTTCGTTCTCCTAGCTCCCTGGATGTGTAAGATTCCTCAAAACCTCCGTTGGACTCTTTTGAACCAGAACACGTGACGGCAACCGCATCACCCTTCTGATTATCAAAAGATGTTACATTTTGTTGCATATCGCACCGTTGGCCGGTCAAAAATGCTATTCTCGGTATAATCTACGTTCATACATGCATTCTATTGCGAAAAGTAGATCACTTCCTCCGAGTCAAATCAGTGAGTTCATGTCATGTGCCAGTTCGGAGAAACTTGCCGGTTAAAAATAAATATGTTTATCCGAACCCCGCTGCGACACTAGCATACTTGCCAGTAGATGATGACAGCTTTGTGGAAATGCGATCATAGCTTGTGAACTTCGTTCCTTATCAATGGAATTTTGTCCATTTGAAATTCGCAAACTTCATTTCTTATCAATGAAATTGTGTCCATCTGCAATTCGCAATTGCCATACAGCACGATGCGTAAATCAATTCCAGCTTTGTTAGCTACAGCCTCAATAACATTAGCTAGTCAAAATGTGTTCAGTGTTCACGATGACTTACTTGCATTTCCACAGGTATGCGCAAGCCCAGCGAATTCATAAGCCATTCTACTACAAAGTCGTCAAAAACTCACGAAACAATAGTATGAGGTAGTATTCTCAAATGAAATTCCTTCGCAAGAGGAAGCATATTTTATCGTCAATCATCCCCATTCGCCTGTCAGATTTTTGGGAAATCAAGAAGATCTTAAGAGCATACAATCGTCTCAACACCCTATTCAAGATGATTCCACCGATCATGAATCCGAGCCTCCCAAACAAACCCACGAGCTCATGTATCTACATGGTGAAGCGCATGTATGCACAATTCCCATAGTTTCTCTACCTCCGCGAAACGAAACCTCAGAAGCCGAAGCTCGCGCTGCTGAACAAAAAGAACTTGCTAGAGCAACTGATCGTGGTTGGGAACTCCTTCAAGATTTGGAGAAAAATTGTCTATATTTCGTATCCGGATGGTGGTCATATTCGTTCTGCTACAATAACGAAATCACACAATTTCATCAACTGCCCGCACAACCCGGCAAGGCGGCATTCCCACCCCAACCGGATCCATCAGCCCAAGAATTTGTTCTCGGAAAGGCGAAGGCATCACCAAAAAGCAAGAGTAAAGAGGACGAGTGGGGCAATCAAATAGAAGCGCATGAGACACCCAAAAATGGGGAATCACCAAAAACGGA